ACATAGACTATTGCAGCATAGACACTGGAGGCTGAGACGGGGGGGGGGGGGAGGGGGGTCGGGAGACACTGTGGCCCCGTCCGAAGATACCCCCGGACAGGGCCAACCAGGCAGGATATAACCCCACCCACTTTGCCAAAGCACAGCCCCACACCACCAGAGGGATATCAACAGACCACCAACCTACTACCCTGAGACAAGGGTGAGTATAGCTCACGAAGATCTCCTCCACTGCACGAGACCGAGGGGGCGACAAACCGGACAGGAAGATCACGTCAGTGACTCAACCCACTCAGGTGATGCACCCCTCAACAGTTTTTTTTGAGACGACTGTACAACCATCAAGATTAATTGTCAGATCCAACAGAAGATCTCTTTGTTTCTTGGGACCTAGAACTAGCATCTCTGTTTTGTCCGAGTTTATAAGTATGAAATCTGCTGCCATCCACTTCCTTATGTCTGAAACACAGGCTTCCAGGGTAGGCAATATTGGAGCTTCACCATGTTTCATCGAAATGTACAGCTGTGTGTCGTCCGCATAGCAATGAAAGTTAACATTGTATTTCCGAATGACATCACCAAGAGGTCAAATATATAGTGAAAACAATAGTGGTCCTAAAACGTAACCTTGAGGAACACCGAAACATACAATTGATTTGTCAGAGGACAAACCATCCACATAGACGAACTGATATCTTTCCGACAGATAAGATCTAAACCAGGCAAGAACTTGTCCATGTAGACCAATTAAGGTTTCCAATCTCTCCAAAATAATGTGGTGATCGATGGTGTCAAAAGCAGCACTAAGGTCTCGGAGCACAAGGACAGATGCAGAGTTTTGGCCTGACGCCATTAAAAGGTAATTTACAGTGGTTTGCGAAAGTATTCACCCCCCTTGGCATTCCAGGTTGCCTTACAACCTGGAATTAAAATGGATTTTTGGGGGGTTTGTATCATTTGATTTACACAACATGCCTACCACTTTGAAGATGCAAAATATTTTTTTTTGTGAAACAAACAAGAATTAAGACAAAAAACCAAAAAACTTGAGCGTGCATAACTATTCACCCCCCCAAAGTCAATACTTTGTAGAGCCACCTTTTGCAGCAATTACAGCTGCAAGTCTCTTGGGGTATGTCTCTATAAGCTTGGCACATCTAGCCACTGGGATTTATGCCCATTCTTCAAGGCAAAACTGCTCCAGCTCCTTCAAGTTGGATGGGTTCTGCTGGTGTACAGCAATCTTTAAGTCATACCACAGATTCTCAATTGGATTGAGGTCTGGGCTTTGGATTGAGGTCTGGCCATTCCAAGACATTTAAATGTTTCCCCTTAAACCACTTGAGTGTTGCTTTAGCAGTATGCTTAGGGTCATTGTCCTGCTGGAAGGTGAACCTCCGTCCCAGTCTCAAATCACTGGAAGACTGAAACAGGTTTCCCTCAAGAATTTCCCTGAATTTAGCGGCATCCATCATTCCTTCAATTCTGACCAGTTTCCCAGTCCCTGCCGATGAAAAAGATCCCCACAGCATGATGCTGCCACCACCATGCTTCACTGTGGGGATGGTGTTCTCGGGGTGATGAGAGGTGTTGGGTTTGTGCCAGACATAGCGTTTTCCTTGATGGCCAAACAGCTCAATTTTAGTCATCTGACCAGAGTATCTTCTTCCATATGTTTGGGGATTCTCCCACATGCCCTTTGGCAAACACCAAACGTGTTTGCTTATTTCTTTCTTTGAGCAATGGCTTTTTTCTGGCCACTCTTCTGTAAAGCCCAGCTCTGTGGAGTGTATGGCTTAAGGTGGTCCTATGGACAGATACTCCAATCTCCGCTGTGGAGCTTTGCAGCTCCTTCATGGTTATCTTTGGTCTCTTTGTTGCCTCTCTGATTAATGCCCTCCTTGCCTGGGCTGTGAGTTTTGGCAGGCGGCCCTCTCTTGGAAGGTTTGTTGTGGTGCCATATTCTTTCCATTTTTTAAATAATGGATTTAATGGTGCTCCGTGGGATGTTCAAAGTTTTGGATATTTTTTTATAACCCAACCCCGATCTGTACTTCTCCACAACTTTGTCCCTGACCTGTTTGGAGAGCTCCTTGGTCTTCATGGTGCCGCTTGCTTGGTGGTGTCCCTTCCTTAGTGGTGTTGCAGACTCTGGGGCCATTCAGAACAGGTGTATATATACTAAGATCATGTGATAGATCATGTGACACTTTGATTGCACACAGGTGGACTTTATTTAACAATTTATGTGACTTCTGAAGGTAATTGGTTGCACCAGATCTTATTTAGGGGCTTCATAGCAAATGGGGTGAATACATATGCACGCACCACTTTTCCGTTATTTATTCTATAGAATTTTTTGAAACAAGTTATTTTTTTCATTTCACTTCACCAATTTGGACTATTTTGTGTATGTCTATTACATAAAATAAAAATCCATTTAAATTACAGGTTGAAATGCAACAAAATAGGAAAAATGAATCCTTTTGCAAGGCACTGTACTACCTTCACGAGTGTGGTCTCAGTGCTATGATGGGGTCTAAAACCAGACTGAAGCGTTTCATGTATATTTTTTGTCTTCAGGAAGGCAGTGAACATTTTTGAGAGGAATTGGAGATTCGATATAGGTCGATAGTTTTTTACATTTTCTGGGTCAAGGTTTGGCTTTTTCAAGAGAGGCTTTATTACTGCCACTTTTAGTGAGTTTGGTACACATCCAGTAGATAGGGAGTCATTTATTATGTTCAACATAGGAGGGCCAGGCACAGGAAGTAGCTCTTTCAGTAGCTTAGTTGGAATAGGGTCCAGTATGCAGCTTGAAGGTTTAGAGGCCATGACTATTTTGAATGTGTCAAAAGATATAGGATTAAAAAACTTGAGTGTCTCCATTGATCCTAGGTCCTGGCAGTTCTGTGCAGACTCAGGACAGCTGAGCTTTGGAGAAATACGTAGATTCAAAGAGGAGTCCGTAATTTGCTTTCTAATGATCATGATCTTTTCGTCAAAGTTAATTAATTCATCACTGCTGAAGTGAAAGGCATCTTTTCTTGGGGAATGCTGCTTTTTAGTTAGCTTTGCGACAGGATCAAATAGACATTTTGGATTGTTCTTATTGTCCTCAATTAGGTTGGAAAAATAGGATAATCGAGCTGCAGTGAGGGCTCTTCGATATTGCTCTGTACTTTCTTTCCAAGCAAGTAGGAAGACTTCCAGTTTGGTGGAGCGCCATTTCCGTTCCAATTTTCTGGAGGCTTGCTTCAGGGCTCGGGTATTTTCTGTATACCAGGGAGCTAGTTTCTTGTGACAAATGTTTTTTGTTTTTAGGGGTGCGACTGCATCTAGGGTATTACGCAAGGTTAAATTTAGATCCTCAGTTAGGTCGTTAACTGATTTTTGTACTCCGATTTCCTTGAGTAGGTGGAGGGAGTCTGGGATGGCCTCTAGGAATCTTTGGGTTGTCCGATAATTTATCGAACAGCTTTTGATGGTCCTTGGTTGGGGTCTGAGCAGATTATTTGTTGCGATTGCAAACATAATAAGATGGTGGTCCAATAGTCCGGGGTTATGAGGAAAGATATTTATTCCACGGGACAAAACTAGATCCAGGGTATGACTGTGGCAATGATTAGGTCCGGAGACATGTTGGACAAAACCCACTGAGTCGATGATGGCTCCGAAAGCCTTTTGGAGTGGGTCTGTGGACTTTTCCATGTGAATATTAAAGTCACCAAAAATTTGAATATTATCTGCCATGACTACAAGGTCCGATAGGAATTCAGGGAACTCAGTGTGGAACTCTGTATACGGCCCAGGAGGCCTGTAAACAGTAGCTATAAAAAGTGATTGAGTAGGCTGCATAGATTTCATTACTAGAAGCTCAAAAGACACAGTCATTTTTTGGGGGGTAAATTGACATTTGCTATCGTAAATGTTAGCAACACCTCCACCTTTGCGGGATGCGCGGGGGATATGGTCATTAGTGTAACCAGGAGGAGAGGCCTCATTTAACACAGTAAATTCATCAGGCTTAAGCCATGTTTCTGTCAGGCCAATCACATCAGGATTATGATCAGTGATTAGTTAATTGACCATAACTGCCTTGGAAGTGAGGGATCTAACATTAAGTAGCCCTATTTTGAAATGTGAGATATCACAATCTCTTTCAATAATGACAGGAATGGAGGAGGTCTTTATTCCAGTGAGATTGCGAACACCGCCATGTTTAGTTTTGCTCAACCTAGATCGAGGCACAGACACGGTCTCAATGGGGATAGCTGAGCTGAATACACTGACTGTGCTAGTGGCAGACTCCACTAAGCTGGCAGACTGGCTAACAGCCTGCTGCCTGGCCTGCACCCTATCTCATTGTGGAGCTAGAGGAGTTAGAGCCCTGTCTATGTTGGTAGATAAGATGAGAGCACCCCTCCAGCTAGGATGGAGTCTGTCACTCCTCCAACTAGTTTGACATTGGGAATGTTCTCAAATAGAAACAACGTTCTTCTGTGGGAATTTCAGTTCTTCAGCATAATCTTTCCTACGGGTTTCCTCATGGTTCTATTTAAAGTCATGTTCTCAAATTGTTCCAAGAATGTGAAGAAAACGTTCCATAAAAACCACAAGAAAACTTTAGTAACGTTCAGAGAACGTTCTAAGAATGTTATTTAAAAAACATATACATTCTGTTCTCAGCATTAACAAGGCTGTCTCTATCCTCTATCTTGTTAAGTGTGTTCAGGTGTGTTGGCCTTGCCCACTAATTGGGTACACCTGATCTTAATGAATGCATGTTTCCTTTGAAATAGGGTCTGTTTGAATAGACAAAATAAACAGATTTGTATGCATGTTAGCTCCATCCTGATGGCGCAGTGGACTAAGGATAGTTGTTTGCATGATTAATGCCTAAGGAAATGAATTTCCAGGTTTCCTATCTATGCTTGGAGTTCAAAAAAGTTAACCCAAAATAAGATAGCAGTTTTATTAAGTGTTATTGAAACATTCAGTAAAAGTTTTAAGGAAGTTATTCAAAAACCTCCAAATAACCTATAATTTCTGTTCTCAGAGCATTAATAAAACCTCCCAGGAAAACATTCAAAGTCAGAACCTCCCCTAAAAGATAAACGTTCCCAGAACAGGCGACATTTTTACTTCTGTTCTCATAACTTTTAAAAAGCTTTCAGTTTTACCGGTCAGGAAACGTATGGCTTCGTTCTCACAATCAATGTAAAACCAAAATCATACATTCCCACAACTTCCAAGGAACCAAATGTGCTAGCTGGGTAAGGTGCCGTTTGGGACACAGCCATACCTTTCCTAAATTACCTTTTCTCAACCATCCTTCAACGTTCCTATTCTCAGCCTTCTGGGAAAACACCTCAACCTTTCTTGACCCTGTCTTTTCCTTCATCATACACTTATCAATAAACTATCTCTGTTGAAGAAGCATAACACTATTTACAGGAGTCTAACAGTTGCTGTTGCAGAAATTCCATACAGCTTCCGCTGTATTGTCCTATGTTACATAGTCATATAATTTTATATATCATATTTGTGGTTATGATTCCTACTTGGACATACACTTTATAAATCATAAATAATATCATAATACATATTATAAATCCATAAGTTATTGTCCATCAACGTTATCTCCAGTTACAGGCTGTAACCATGTTTTGTGGTCAAAATGGCAACATGGCCTCCCGGATGTTTAGTCTTCATGCTCCCAAAGTGTCTGCAAACAAAGCAGGGAGAAGAACTTACATTATTATCTGAAAAACATAACCAAAGAAATATACTCAGAGTCTAACTGCATAAAATATGTACAGTGGCTTGCGAAAGTATTCACCCCCCTTGGCATTTTTCCTATTTTGTTGCCTTACAACCTGGAATTAAAATGGATTTGGGGGTGGGGGGGGGGGGGGGGGGGGGGCTGGGGTTGTATCATTTGACTTACACAACATGCCTACCACTTTGAAGATGCAAAATAATTTTTTTGGTGAAACAAACAAGAAATAGACAAAAAAACAGAAAACTTGAGCATGCATATCTATTCACCCCCCACCCCAAAGTCAATACTTTTTAGAGCCACCTTTTGCAGCAATTACAGCTGCAAGTCTCTTGGGGTATGTCTCTATAAGCTTGGCACGTCTAGCCACTGGGATTTATGCCTATTCTTCAAGGCAAAACTGCTCCAGCTCCTTCAAGTTGGATGGGTTCCGCTGGTGTACAGCAATCTTAAAGTCATACCACAGATTCTCAATTAGATTGAGGTCTGGGCTTTGACTAGGCCATTCCAAGACATTTAAATGTTTCCCCTTAAACCACTCGAGTGTTGCTTTAGCAGTATGCTTAGGGTCCTTGTCCTGCTATGACTAAAATACTAAAACAGGTTTCCCTCAAGAATTTCCCTATATTTAGCGCCATCCATCATTCCTCCTGACCAGTGTCCCAGTCCCTGCTGATGAAAAACATCCCACAGCATGATGCTGCCACCACCATGCTTCACTGTGGGGATGGTGTTCTCAGGGTGATGAGAGGTGTTGGGTTTGCGCCAGACATAGCGTTTTCCTTGATGGCTTAAAAGCTCAATTTTAGTCTCATCTGACCAGAGTACCTTCTTCCATATGTTTGGGGAGTCTCCCACATGCCTTTTGGCGAACACCAAACGTGTTTGCTTATATATTTTTTTGGCCACTCTTCCATAAAGCCCAGCTCTGTGGAGTGTATGGCTTAAAGTGGTCCTATGGGCAGATACTCCAATCTCCGCTGTGGAGCTTTGCAGCTCCTTCAGGGTTATCTTTGGTCTCTTTGTTGCCTCTCTGATTAATGCCTTCCTTGCCAGTTTTGGTGGGCGGCCCTCTCTTGGCAGGTTTGTTGTGGTGCCATATTCTTTCCATTTTTTAATAATGGATTTAATGGTGCTCCGTGGGATGTTCAAAGTTTTGAATATTTTTTTAGAACCCAAACCTGATCTGTACTTCTCCACAACTTTGTCCCTGACCTGTTTGGAAAGCTCCTTGGTCTTCATGGTGCCACATGCTTGGTGGTGCCCCTTGCTTAGTGGTGTTGCAGACTCTGGGGCCTTTCAAAACAGGTGTATATATACTAAGATCATGTGACAGATCATGTGACACTTAGATTGCACACAGGTGGACTTTCTTCAACAAATTATGTGACTTCTGAAGGTAATTGGTTGCACCAGATCTTATTTAGGGGCTTCATAGCAAAGGGGGTGAATACATATGCACGCACCACTTTTCCGTTATTTATTTTTTAGAGTTTTTTGAAACAAGTTATTTTTTAAATTTTACTTCACCAATTTGGACTATTTTGTGTATGTCCATTACATAAAATCCAAAATAAAATTCATTTAAATTACAGGTTGTAATGTAAAAAAATAGGAAAAATGCCAAGGGGGATGAATACTTTTGCAAGGCTCTGTATAAGAGTCTCCTCTTTCATAAGAACTTGGCTGATGATGAGCCTTAGCCGCAGAGAGTATGCAAATAGAACAGTCTTAAAAGCAGCTCCAGTGCACAACTATAGTAGTTACTGGTCTTTCTCTTCCCACAATGTAAAGCATATTCCTTGATTGACTAAATACAACTGATTGTGCCCACTCCCCTTATTACAGTACATACCTCCATGTGTTTGACTCGTGGTTGTAGACTTCTATTGTTTTCAGATTGGTAATGCCATCAAAGCCTCCTACAGCCAACAATGACCCGTTGAACACCATCAGGGACATCTGAAAAGGACAGACCGGAAAGGAGCACCAGTGAGCCACAAGAGCTAATGTGAAAGGTTGATTCAGCAAGATGATATCATCATAAACAATAAGTCCATTTCCCACTTACAGACATCAACATTAACAGTAACCAGATCTGACAAGGGTGTAATTATTGGCTCTTAGAAAGGCTGTGTGCTAAGAGACAGTAATGGGCATCTTGGGAGATCTGGGAACTGTTGATGTTGATGTGGGAAGTCGTCCAATGACCAAGAGGGTAGCCAAAAAGGATTTGTGTGACCAATCACTTACATTGTTCCTCTTGCACCTCATGTGTTTGACGGGGGTCCATCTCAGAGCGTCTGGATCAAACTTCTCTGCAGTGCTGAGCTCCAGGTTGAGGTCATCCCGGCCTCCGGTCACAAACAGACGTCCCAGGTACACACAGCAGCCGGCGTTCTCTCTAGCGGTCAGCATGGGGGGGCACACATACCACGTCCCATCCAAGGGATTAAAACGCTCCACTGGGGATCACAGAACACAGACATGTACAGGTCAAAAACAGATACAGGCCACGAAAAACACACAGACCTTGAAACAGACACAGGGCAGACACTTGGTCATGGATGAGGTCATTTAGGGGGAAATACAGAGACAGCACCAATGATATTGCCACAACAGCACAATTCAATTACTGTTGTTATAGTGGGCTAAATCTCACTGAAATAGAATTAAACAGGTTATTGGATTCTTACTGGTTCTTCTGCAGTTACTGTAACCTGTGTTGTCAGATTCCTGCCCAGCTGGCACATAACGTTCTGAGAACCATATGTTTCTTAGAGCTTGGTGAGAGCGTGGTTGTCCTATGGTTATTTTGCATACAACCTTCCCACAACTTTCTGAGAATGGTACAGGATAGTTGCTTGGCTTTGGAACATTCTCAGCACATTTAAGGAACTTTGCAAAGAAAAACATTTTTCTTGGTATTTCATTACATTAACAGAATGTTTCCAAAAAGTTCAAACATGGTTACATTTAATTCCATTTTTGTTAATGTTCTAGGAACGTTCTCCATCTGGTTTGACATTGTTAATATTCTCAAATAGTGCCAAGAATGTTAAGAAACAACGTTGTTCTTTGGGAATTTCAGTACTTCAGCGTAATGTTTCCTACAGGTTCTATTTAAAGTCATGTTCTCAGATTGTTCCGAGAACATTAAGAAACAACGTTCTTCTGTGGGAATTTCAGTACTTCCGCAGAACATTCCACACAAGTTGTGATTTGTAATAGCAACATGTACAGTACCAGTCAAAGGTTTGGACACACCTACTCAGTCAAGGGTTTTTCTTTATTTTTTACTATTTTCTACATTGTAGAATAATAGTGAAGACATCAAAACTATGAAATAACACATATGGAATCATGTAGTAACAAAATAAGTGTTAAACAAATCAAAATATATTTTATATTTGATATTCTTCAAATAGCCACCCTTTGCCTTTATCACAGCTTTGCACACTTTTGTTACATTACAGCCTTATTCTAAAATTGATTAAATTGTTTGTATTTTATCCTCATCAATCTACACACACAATATCCCATACTAACAAAGCAAAAACAGGGTTTTAGAAATCTTTGCAAATTCATAAAAAATGAAATATCACATTTACATAAGTATTCAGACCCTTTACTCAGTACTTTGTTGAAACACTTTTGGCAGCGATTACAGCCTCAAGTCTTCTTGGGTATGACGCTACAAGCTTGGCACACCTGTATTTGGGGAGTTTCTCCCATTCTTCTCTGCAGATCCTCTCAAGCTCTGACAGGTTGGACGTGGAGGGTCGCTGCACAGCTATTTTCAGGTCTCTCCAGAGATGTTTGATCAGGTTTAAGTCCGGGCTCTGGCCACTCATGGACATTCAAAGACTTGTCCCGAAGCCACTCCTGCATTGTCTTGGCTGTGTGCTTAGGGTCGTTGTCCTTTTGGAAGGTGAACCTTCGCCCCAGTCTGAGGTCCTGAGCTCTCTGGAGCAGGTTTTCATCAAGGATCTCTCTGTACTTTGCTCCGTTCATCTTTCCCTTGATCCTGACTAGTCTCCCAGTCCTTGCCGCTGAAAAACATCCCCACAGCATGATGCTGCCACTACCATGCTTCACCGTAGGGATGGTGCCAGGTTTCCTCCAGATGTGACGCTTGGCATTCAGGCCAAAGAGTTCAATCTTGGTTTCATCAGACCAGAGAATCTTGTTTCTCATGGTCTGAGAATCATTTAGGTGCCTTTTGGCAAACTCCAAGCGGGCTGTAATGTGCCTTTTACTGAGGAGTGGCTTCCGTCTGGCCACTCTACCATAAAGGACTGATTGGTGGAGTGCTGCAGAGATGGTTGTCCTTCTGGAAGGTTCTCCCATCTTCACAGAGGAACTCTGGATCTCTGTCAGAGTGACCATCGGGTTCTTGGTCACCTCCCTGACCAAGGCCCTTCTCCCCCGATTGCTCAGTTTGGCCGGGCGGCCAAACTTCTTCCATTTAAGAATGATGGAGGCCACAGTGTTCTTGGGGAGCTTCAATGCTGCAGAAATGTTTTTGTACCCTTCCTCAGATTAGTGCCATGACACAATCCTGTCATTTAGCAGACCACCTAAAAAGAGTTTTACCAGTAAGCCAACTTCGTAGACTGCATAGCATCTTTGACACAGAAGAAGAATATGATAGACAATCAAATTCTCTCACAGAAGCTAGTTACTTAATACATCTCAACAAAAACAGAAGAAACAGTTTCTGTAAACTATATACTGTACTTACTTTCAATGATAGCCTTAATGGCATCAAGTCTATTGCCAATAAACATGGGCACATATTATCATCTGACTTTTCTTTAAATTCTGCCTTCCAGAATCCCCCTTTATTCACCAACAAACGATCAAGAAATCTATCAAACATATTGGTTAAATGTGATGTGTTCAGACAGAGAAAAGAGGCATTCATAAAAAGATGCGTCCCCTGTAGATCTTGTACTTCTTGTATCACCATAAGGAAATGTTCTAACTTAGTATGCCCTCAGACTTCTAGGACCTATGAGATAAAGTCATGTATAGCTTGCACTACTAAAGGAGTTATATGTTAAAGTGTTCTTGTAATATGATTTATATTGGAAAAACATCCCGCGCCTTGAAAGTTCGTCTTGGAGAGCATAAATCCACTATTAGACGTCGAGATATCACCTCGCCAATAGCGAGACACTTTGTAGAACAAAATCATTATTTTAATGAATTGCGTTGCGTCAGGATCGAAAAAGTTCATCCACCACATAGAGGTGACTATGACAACAAATGACTCCAAAGAGAAGCCATGTGGCTATATCAATTACATTCTGTATCTCCACACGGTTCAAAATGTTTGACTTAAGCAATGTTCTCAGAATGTTCATAAAATGTATGGTTCTCTTTTATGTCAGTTCTACATATTAACATGAATTATTTCTAAATTCCGTTCTCAGAACATGAAGAAAACTTTCCATGAAAACCACAAGAAAACTTTAATAACGTTCAGAAAATGTTCAGAATGTTATTTAAAAACATATTCATTCCGTTCTCAGCGTCAACAAAACTCTTTATCCTCTATCTTGTTAAGTGTGTTCAGGTGTGTTGGCGGCGCCCACTAAATGGCTTTGGGAAACCCTGGCTTAGTGGACTAATTTCAGAGATAGAGAACAGGTTTGAATCTCACTGATGCTGTGTCACAATGAAAAATACTGTTTGCATGATTAATGCCAAAGCAAATGTATTTCCACGTGTCCTACTGAATCTGTGCTTGGAATTCAAAACATTTAACCCAAAATAAACTAGCTGTGCTATTAAAGTTTTATTGAAACATTCAGTGAAAGTTTTAAGGAATTTATTCAAAAACCTCCAAATAACCTTTACATTTCATTCTTAGTGTTAAAGGTCCAATGCAGACGTTTTTATCTCAATATCAAATCATTTCTGAGTAACAATTAGGTACCTTACTGTGACTGTTTTCAATAAAAAATTGTCAAAAATAAACAAAAATAGCTTCTTAGCAAAGAACAATTTCACAAACAACTGTCTGAGTAGCTGTTATTGGCAGAGAAGTTTGGAACTCACTTTCTTTTTTCCCCGTTGTAATTTATACCCCTTTTTTCTCCCCAATTTTGTGATTATGATCTTGTCTCATCGCTGCAACTCCCCAACGCGCTCGGGAGAGGCAAAGGTCGAGTCATGCGTCCTCCGAAACATGACCTGCCAAGCCGTGCTTCTTAACACCCGCTCGCTTAACCCGGAAACCATCTGCACCAATGCGTCGGAGGAAACACTGTTCAACTGAAGTCCGAAATCAGCCTGCAGGCAACCGTCCCTCCACAAGGAGTCGCTAGAGCGCGATGAGCCAAGTAAAGCCCCCTCAGCCAAACCCTCCCCTAACCCGGATGATGCTGGGCCAATTGGGCGCCGCCCTATGGGACTATGGGATCAAACCCCAGGCTGTAGTGACGCGTTAGACCTCTGCGTCACTCGGGAGGCCCTGGAACTCTCTTTCTTATTGGTCTATTAACTAATTTATCACATGGTGATGTCACCTGGCAGGCCAAGTAAATGATTAATAATAATAATAATAATAATAATAATAATAATAACCATAACAAAACTTTCACAACATTTAGAGAATTTAATTACCTGCAAATAACCTATTATTTTTTGTTCTCAAAGCGTTAATAAAACCTCCCAGGAAAACTTTCAGGGAACCAGAGTAAAATGTTCTCAGAACCTCCCTACAACCTAAAAATGAAAGTTCCCAGAACAGGCGAAAATGTCACTTATGTTTTCAGAACGTTTAAAAAACATTCAGTTTTACCGGTCAGGAAACGCATGGCTTAGTTCCCACAACCAATGTGAATCCAAAAACATACGTTCCAAAAACTTCCAAGGAACCAAATGTGCTAGCTGTGTGTTCTTTCTAGCAAAACCCCTAGTGTCTGGGTTTTATGAAAGCTGAAAAGCTTATGGGAATTTTCACAGACAGAAATAAGCGCAGACAAGTGGCAACACAACATAACCCTCCCACGTGTATCTCTGGCAGACTCAGAGGGCCCAAGTATGTGTGTGTGTGTATATGTGTGTACTGTGTGTGTGTGTGTGTGTACGGTCTGTCTGTGTGTGTGCGTGTGTGTACTGGGTGTGTGTGTGCGTGTGCGTGAATGGAAGCGTGTGTGTGTTGGTACCAGATAAAATGTCACATTGTTATGCATGACCAAAACTCTGCTACATTTTGAAGAGTGGTGTTAAAGTAAATGCGTTCCTCTGGACAGCAACACATGCAAACAAACATCTACAACCTTAAAATGTAGAGGCCTTATACTGTAAGTAGAACCAGGAGTTTTTTCTGACCACGTGACCTCACCAAGAAAAACTTTGTGTCACGCCCTGGCTCTGGGGACACTTGTATGTTGAGCCAGGGTGTGCATTTCATTTGTTTATCTAGTATGTGTATTTCTATGTTGGCCTGAGTGGCTCCCAATCAGAGGCAACGAGTGTCAGCTGTCGTTGGTTGTCTCTGATTGGGAGCCATATTTAAACTGTCCGTTTCCCATTTGTGTTGGTGGGATCTTGTTTCAAGTCTGGTTATGTTAGACCGTGAACTGTCACGTATCGTTTGTTGTTTTGATCGTGTCTCTAATTAAAGAGTATGTTTGCCTGCAACGCTGCGCCTTGGTCCTCCTCTTTGGTAGACGATCACGACAGAAGATCCCACCTCGACTGGATCAAGCAGCGTGACGAGGAGAGAGGATGGACTTGGGAGGAGATGAGTGCGAGTCTGGCAAGAGGGATGGAGGCCTTGGCCACGGGTAGGAGTGAAGCCCATAAATTTTTTAGGGGGGGGCTAACGGCGTGGACGACGGGGCAGCAGGAGGCCGCCAGGTTACGGGAGTCACTGGTCACCAGGGGGAGGGAGGATGTAGAGGCACGGCGAGAGGTACTGGCATGTGTTGCCAGTCCGGTCCGGCCTGTTCCTGATCCCCACGTAGGGCCAGTGGTGTGTGTTCCCAGTACGGTCCGGCCTGTTCCTGCCACTCGCACCAAGTCAGTGGTGCGCTTCGTCAGCCCGGTCCGGCCCGCTCCTGCTCCCCGCACCAAGTCAGTGGTGCGTTTCGTCAGCCCGGCGCGGCCCGCTCCTGCTCCCCACACCAAGCCAGTGGTGTGCGTCTTCAGTCCGGCACGGCCCGTGCCTGTTCCACCGGTGGCTGGTCCGGCACCGGTCAGATGCTTCACGCCGGAGCTAGAGCAATCCGCTCCACCAGTGTGCAGTCCAGCTCCGGCCAGCGGGGCCAGACCGGACCAGGGGTACTTTGGGGGGTTGGAGAGGGAGCGGGGATCAGGCCCGGAGCCGGATCCGCCGCCTAAGCGGAGTGCCCACCCGGTCCCTCCCCTGTGGTGTTTGGTGGGCGCGGTCGGAGTCCGCGCCTTTAGGGGGGGGGATACTGTCACGCCCTGGCTCTGGGGACACTTGTATGTTGAGCCAGGGTGTGCATTTCATTTGTTTATCTAGTATGTGTATTTCTATGTTGGCCTGAGTGGCTCCCAATCAGAGGCAACGAGTGTCAGCTGTCGTTGGTTGTCTCTGATTGGGAGCCATATTTAAACTGTCTGTTTCCCATTTGTGTTGGTGGGATCTTGTTTCAAGTCTGGTTATGTTAGACCGTGAACTGTCACGTATCGTTTGTTGTTTTGATCGTGTCTCTAATTAAAGAGTATGTTTGCCTGCAACGCTGCGCCTTGGTCCTCCTCTTTGGTAGACGATCGTGACACTTTGGGCCCTTCCTGTGATGCGTCCAGAGATCAGACGTCGAAAGAGCCCTGAAGCGCAGACACAGGTCAACCATACAGTCTGTCCTAATTAGGGTTGCAGGTTTTCCAGAATTCCTGGTTGATGGATCCCACATTTCTTGCTTATTCCCTCCTGATTCCAGGAATCTTCCAGTCTGGTTTTCTGGAAAACCTGGTAATTTAGGAAAAGTTGCCAGACTTTTGCAACCCTAGTCCTAATGTTGTACATTGAGTAGGGTATGCCTATCTGTTAGCTTATTGTTTTATTTATACCTGTGTTCATGGGTACGTCTCCATCGCTGCCTCCAATCACATACAGGAGACCATCCATCACAGCAGCAGCTGCCCCACTACGCCGGCTCAGCATCGGAGCCTGCTTCGTCCAGCTGTTCATTTTGGGATTATACCTGGTGGAATACGAAGAATATACAAACATTATATTTACAGAACAAAACTAAGATTCCTATGAGCATTAGTGAGACAGAGATACTGAAACTATGTCTAAATACATCGTTCAATTCTCCCTTTCCTATGTCCGTCATTAGATGTCTGATCAAAAAGCCTGTCAAAGGTCAACAGGTCAAACCTTGTTATCTTTCTGTCATCTACAGTATTCAGGTAATTCACAGAAAGGAAGTATCTAAAGAATACTTAGACATGGCCCTGGCCTTTGTTATTATTTGTCTATCTTGCAACCATCGTGCAACAACTCATGATAATATGGCGTTACCTCTCAACAGTGTTGGTGCAGACCATGCCGTCGTACCCTCCGAGGGCGTACAGGTATCCGTCCATCTCCACCAGACACACTCCGCTGCGGGGGCTGCTCAGGGGGGCCACGTCGTTACTCCAGGTATTAGTTTGTGGGTCGTACCTGCAGAGGGAGGGAAGGGAGAGAGAGAGAAGAGGGGGGGGGGGGGGGGGGGGGTTTAGCCTCATGTTTTAGATAAAGCTGGTAAAGACCTGTCTGGTGAACTGGGTTAGCAAAGGGAATGATGGATGATAATGCTGTTAATAATTAGTTATCACCATCTCGATCAATGTGATACAAAAAGACTGAAACGTCGCTCTGAGGAGTGTGCTGTTTAGAGATAGTTAAGAGAAATCCCCAAGACACTGACTTAGGTATGAGGAGCAAAATAAACTGTCAATGATCTGTCGTAAATTATAGCTCTACTGCAAAAGTAAACCCTGAGTTGGAAATCAAACATTGTGTTTAGTGTATTAGTTAATTGTTCGGAAGTAGCACAGATTGCCCGCAGAGACACATCTTCTCCCTCCTGCAGGGCAGTTAAAAAGTAAAAAAATGTATGCACTCACTACTGTAAATCGCTCTGGATAAGAGTGTCTGCTAAATGACAAAAAAACATAATAACAATAATAATGGGAAACCCAGCATGAGGACTAATCAAATGATGAGATCCCTGAGAGCCAGAGCCCAGGGCTTGAATGCTACTCTCTACTGCTCTCTGCTGCTGTCTGCTTTCTCTGCTCTGCCGTCAAGCAGACATATGGGAGTAATCGTCCAGACCGATAAGAAAAGGATGAGGGAACACTACCCGCAAGGGATTGTCTCTAGTTTCCAGGAGGTGGAAGATTGTGGAGCAGAGAGGGGGAGTACTGGTCTGCAGAATTGGCGCCGGAGGAGACGGCTGCTGTTTTACGGGCTCCTAACCAATTGTGCTATTGTGTCTGTTTTTTTCACGTTATTTGTAACTTATTTTGTACATAATGTTTCTGTCACCGTCTCTTATGACCGAAAAGAGCTTCTGGATATCAGGACAGCGATTACTCACCTCGTACTGGACAATTTTTTTTTTCTTTAACGAGTCGGACGCAAAGGATTTTCTTCAGACACCCGACAAGGCCCAAATCCCTGTCATTCGCATGAGAAAGAGACGGAGATATCGGGGATGTAGGTCGGGGTGCCTTGTAAGGATCCGAGGGTGAGTGTGTAATCTGCCTCTGCCATCAGTCATATTAGCCAACGTACAATCATTGGATAACAAAATAGACTAACTAACATCACAGATATCCTACCATCGGGACATTAAAAACGGTAATATCTTATGTTTCACCGTTTCACCGTTTCACCGTGGCTGAACGACGACATGGATAGCATACAGCTGGCGGGATATAAACTGCATCGGCAAGATAGAACAGGGGTGGCGGTCTGTGTATATTTGTAAACAACAGCTGGTGCACGAAATCTAATATTAAAGAAGTCTCAAGGTTTTGCTCGGTAGAGTATCTCATGATAAGCTGTAGACCAAATGATTTACCAAATGAGTTTTAATCTATATTTTTCATAGCTGTCTATTTACCACCACAAACCGATGCTGGCACTAAGACCACTCTCAATGAGCTGTATAAGGCCATAAGCAAACAGGAAAACGCTCATCCAGAGGTGGCGCTCCTAGTGGCCGGGGACTTTAATGCAGGGAAACTTAAATCCGTCTTACCTCATTTCTACCAGCATGTTAAATGTGCAACCAGAGGGAAAAAAACTCTCAACCACATTTACTCCACACACTGAGACACGTACAAAGCTCTCCCTCGCCCTCCATTTGGCAAATCTGACCATAACTCTATCCCCTGATTCCTGCCCACAATCAAAAACTAAAGCAGGAAGCACCAGTGACTCGGTTAATAAGGAAGTGGTCAGATGATGCAGATGCTGAACTACAGGACTGTTTTGCTAGCACAGACTGGAATATGTTCCGGGATTCTTCCGATGGCATTGAGGAGTACACCACATCAGTCACTGGTTTCATCAATAAGTGCATCAATGACGTCGTCCCCACAGTGACCGTACGTACATACCCCAACCAGAAGCCATGGATTACAGGCAACATCCGCACTGAGCTCAAGGGTAGAGCTGCCGCTTTCAAGGAGCGGGACTCTAACCGGGACGCTTATAAGAGATCCCGCTATGCCCTCCGACAAACCATCAAACAGGCAAAGCGTCAATACAGGACTAAGATTTAATTGTACTTCACCGGCTCCAACGCTCGTCAGATGTGGCAGGGCTTGCAAACTATTACAGACTACAAAGGGAAGCACAGCTGTGAGCTGCCCAGTGACATGAGCCTACCAGACGAGATAAATTACTTCTATGCTTGCTTCAAGGCAAGCAACACTAAAGCATGCGTGAGAGCATCAGCTGTTCCAGACGACTGTGTGATCACGCTCTCCGTAGCCAATGTGAGTAAGACCTTTAAACAGGTCAACATTCACAAGGCCGCAGGGCCAGACGGATTACCAGGACGTGTACTCCAAGCATGCGCTGACCAACTGGCATGTGTCTTCACTGACATTTTCAACCTATCCCTGTCTAAGTCTGTAATACCAACATGTTTCAAGCAGACCACCATAGTCCCTGTGCCCAAGAACACTAAGGTAACCTGCCTAAATGACTACCGACCCATAGCACTGTGCTTTGAAAGGCTGGTCATGGCTCACATCAACAACATTATCCCAGAAACCCTAGACCCACTCCAATTTGCATTCTGCCCCAACAGATCCACAGATGATAGAATCTCAATTGCACTCCACACTGCCTTTTCCCACCTGGACAAAAGGAACACTTACTACAGCTCAGCGTTCACCACCACAGTGCCCTCAAAGCTCATCACTAAGCTAAGGACCCTGGGACTAAACACCTCCCTCTGCAACTGGATCCTGGACTTCCTGACGGGCCACCCCCAGGTGGTAAGGGTAGGTAACAACACGTCTGCCACGCTGATCCTCAACACGGGGGCCCCTCAGGGGTGCGTGCTCAGTCCCCACCTGTACTCCCTGTTCACCCATGACTGCATGGCCAGGCACGTTTCCAACACCATCATTAAGTTTGCTGACGACACAACAGTGGTAGGCCTGATCACCGACAACGATGAGACAGCCTATAGGGAGGAGGTCAGAGACCTGGCCGTGTGGTGCCAGGATAACAACCTCTCCCTCAACGTGATCAAGACAAAGGAGATGATTGTGGACTACAGGAAAAAGAAGTAGACCGAGCACGCTCCCATTCTCATCAACGGGGCTGTAGTGGAACAGGTTGAGAGCTTCAAGTTCCTTGGTGTCCACATCACTAACAAACTATCATGGTCAAAACACAGCAAGACAGTCGTGAAGAGGGCACAACAAAGCCTATTCCCCCTCAGGAGACTGAAAAGATTTGGCATGGGTCCTCAGATCCTCAAAAAGATCTACAGCTGCACCATCGAGAGCATCCTGACTGGTTGCATCACTGCCTGGTATGTCAAACTGCTCGGCCTCTGACCGCAAGGCACTACAGAGGGTAGTGCGTACAGCCCAGTACATCACTGGGGCCAAGCTTCCTGCCATCCAGGACCTCTATACCAGGTGGTGTCAGAGGAAGGCCCTAAAAATGGTCAAAGACTCCAACCACCCTAGTCATAGACTGTTCTCTCTGCTACCGCATGGCAAGCGGTACTGGAGCGCCAAGTCTAGGTCCAAAAGGCTTCTTAACAGCTTCTACCCCCAAGCCATAAGACTCCTGAACAGCTAATCAAATGGCTACTCGGGCAGCCATCTTGAAACGCCTTTACCTCTCCACATTGCTTTTGTAGGTGACGCCATCGGACCCGCCCACTGTGTAGATCTTCCCATACAGGCCGCACACGGCCACGTTACCACGGTGATTGATCATGGAGGCCATGTTCTTCCACTCATTCTCCAGGGGGCAGAACTGTTCCACTGGGCAGGAGGGGTCCTCTTGGGTCCAGCCGCCCACTGACAGGAGATACAAGGAGAGATGCATTTGTGAGTCAAACCAGTTAAGGAGTTTGTTACTTTATTGACAGGCCTATATTTAACTGGTACTATTGAGACTCATAATTAGAATTGTAATGACTTCGTAATTTCCATATGATTGCTCCTCTGTTTCTTTGAGATTAATTATAACGAGTACTGTATATCATTTTGTCAATATTCAATACCACTATTAAGAGGACTACTCACAACTAAGGCTCACTCACTTACTACTACCTAACCGTTTTACCTAGGATATCTAAAGCACTAATTAAAAATCGTTGCATTCTCAAAAACACTGCAGAGTTTTTTTTAGTTCATCATTCACACCCATAAGCGGCAGTTCCTTATTCAGACAATTAATATGATCTGTCCTCTCCAAAAATACCAGTCCTTAATGCCTAAGGGTAGGGAGAATTTATGGATGTGTCACCCTCTCACTCTCAGGCCTGAACACTTAGCACTTAATGCCCTGGTCCTATCTTCCAGCTCAGCTGCCTGACCACTGTATGACGTGTCACTGTAAAGCAGAGGTACACAGTGTGTCATTCCTCCATGTCAAGTGAACATATCCAGTGAGGCCCCGCACTAAGCACAAAGATAAAGCTGTTTAATTTGCAGTGCTTACCCCAAAAAGTATTGCAGACTAAAGTTCAGAAATGTGTTGAGAGATATGGTGCAGTTTGTTCTTTCTTTACATTTATTGAATTCAATATATTTCAGCCATCCCCCAGGAACATATCTACCAAGTGTCAAACTGCATAGCAATGGTATTGCAAGAACATATCAAGTTTTTACAATGCATCAGAGTTTTGAAGATTTTTTTACATTGAACATGCTACCACAATAAATTCATTTTAATTGTATGAAGAGTAACTTGGTGCCTTAAAAAAAAAATCAAATTACCCCTTAAACCAAAGAGCACCTATATTCTACATTTAGTAAGATCTAGTTCACATGCCGCTTTTCCAATTTTGCTTTTTTTCTCTCTACAGGATTTCACGTTTATCTAAATTGTCATGACGTGCCATAGACACAAACATACCTGTATATAACATTTGGCATCCAACTTTTCCTTTGGAGTTACGCAGTGGCATTTTCCTTAATATATGGTTAACGTATTTTCCTTAACGTATGGTACATATAACCTACACTATGGCAGTCTGCAGAGTAACTGACCACATAAGTTGAACATAGGTGAGCACATCTTTGAGGGGGAGTTACTGACCTATGTACATGATGTCGTTGAACACCTCTCTAGGGGGGAGTTTGGAGTGTTGTCTGCGCAGGGACATGGAGCTCGGGATGCCATGGCGACCACCGACCCCCCCTCGTCTGTCTTTGTGCATCATGACCTCCTGTGTGTCTGGTTCTCCAAGGGCCTCCCTGACACACCACACACACCACACACACACAGGAGCAGAATGAAAGGTCATGTAATGGTTAGTAATAATTTATGTTTACCATCTTCAAATTACCTGATATTTACTCATTTCAGATTCATTACAGACTTTATAAGCTGTCACCAATAGGTCAAATATGCACACCCTGTACATACCAATATACTGTACTCATCACACTTCATTTTTATCAAGCATAACATTTCTCAGCTTTCAAAAGTGCATCCCGAGAAACAGGAAAACGTCTCCGTACTGTGGCATTTTCTTGGACACTATAAACTGCACCGTCTTACCAGTGATACTTTAACTACCGCAACAGCCATCACCGCATGTTTTCTCATTCACCACTGTGCCTTCTCTCTTATGCAGAAGACACTCTGATTAGAAAACATCCACATTAAGATTCAGAGATGCTTAACAGTGACAGTCATTCATTCATTACAAACATAAAAATGCACACATACACCACACAACTCCAAGAATTACTAGAATTACCCTTGTTCATTGTACACTCCCATGTCACCTCAGCTCTCAGGTCAGGTCTCCAGCAACAATATATTTTCTTTTGACACCTTGACAGCTAGTCAAATTCTCTTTCACAGTCTTGTCTATCTATAGGAGTTCACTTCAGCTCACTCTCTGCTGCCTGAAGTCTATCTTCTTGCCCAGCCCAATCTACTGACTGATATAGTTTACTGCTCAGTTTGCTGCTCCCTAAAGTCGAATACTGATAACCCCAAGAGCCAGAGCCTGCCACCTCTACCCTGAGATACATCTATTTCTGCCCCTTCTACCCTGCCCAGCAGCCATACCAGCCACCAGCTGTGCCGTCCTGACTCATACATCCCGAAAGCCTGCTGAAACCCTAAGCCCCGTCAATGCTTCTTTAGAATCCACATGCTTCTTTAGACTCTGTATGATTCAGAATTGACCGGATTCCATTCCAAAGAGCACCGACAGGAATGTCTCTGTCCAGACTTAGAGGACTAGTGGTGTCATACATACAGACATAGAGTAAAGAGCTGGATTGAAGAAGAGAGATAGAGAGTGTCTGTGTTGAAGATATACTTTATATTGCTGGACACTACCGGAGATCTTTTGTCCTTTTGCGAAACAGTACAAAGCAGTGGAGTGGTGAAATTCATAGTCACCATATCGCCACAGGGGCATAGAGCTGTTATTGTCTGACCTGACCCTATCAGCTCTCCCTCTGAACCTTTCACTCTCCCTGATCCTCCCCTAACGCGCCCATAGCGACCTTTGACCTGTATGTCCATTTATATTTCTATGGCCACCGCAGAAATACCTAAAGTAGTCTGAATATTTCCTTTAATGTGGGTCAAAAGAATCACTGCTAAAAAAAACAGATCAGTATCACTGTTATCTACCCAAACAGCAGATAGCTTCACCATTGTGGGCAACTACCGACCAGAGTTACTGTTCGGGGCAGATGGTGAAGTACCTGGACAACGTAGCTCACTGGGTAAGATCGACGTTATGCTTAATCAGCTTTGAAATCATCTGCTGAGCCAGACAGTGACACAACATATTGGCGTAGTTGGCTTCCAACTCCTATTTTTACATTAGGTTAAAATGTTAATTAACCTTTGCAGCATGTTCATCAGCTAATATGAACTGCCAATACTGGATGAAATATGAATGATGCATCAGCCAGCCTCAAGGGATTTACTTTAACAACACGCCTTAGACTGTAAAACAGCAGAACCACGGACTCACCTAGTTTGGGAATTTCAATATTCATGCAGATTTAAAAACCATAGCATACACAGCTTATAAACATACATGCTCAAGGCATCATCATTTATAGATGGACTTTGGGGAGAGTTGGGAGAGTTTTTTCCTCTTGGCAGAAAATGTCTAATAGAAATGAAATGAACACATAGACAAACACTCACCAGAGAACAACACCTCCAGTATATTGGCCAATGACTCAACGAGGCCTGTAAAATTAATCCAATAATACAGACACCCAAGGTCTGAAAAATCAAGTGTGAAAGTACTATCTAGTTCCTGTTATTCTCCAGGTGTAAATAGTAGTTTAGCCTCTTGTGTATAACAGTCTAGATGTTCCCCAAAGCCCCACGACAGTCCTGAGCCCAAGTCCTGGGAACCATCAATGAGCCCAAAACCCTCATACGAGGCCTTTAATGTTGTCACTTATGCAACCCTGGCCCTTGGCAGCACCCACCTCAAGGCGTAGTCTAAGGATCTAGTCTTTCCATTTCCATCGTAAACCGGGCACTATTTTTATTTTTCAGGAAGCCAAAGGGTTCTGTGGAGGACGTTAAGTTAATGCTGACACTTAAATTTCATTTCGATTTTACAGGTGGAAAAATGCAGATGGTAAGGTGCTCTCTACTGAACTATTAAAATCTTACTCTGGCCAGAAAGAAAGGAACACACCTGTATAGTGCCAGCCTTTCCACCCTCTTCAGTGGTTTTTATATGGAAATAAATACTTTATATTGAACAGAATGAGGGAAAGCAATGTCTTAAACAATCTGAAAAATAGGGATTTAATATAGTTTAATAGAGGAAAGGGGATCGTGTACTGTCCCACCGCCATGTGCAATGGAGTTTCTCACTCACTCCCTGACACTCCCACACATTTCTTTTGCTGATTTATCAGTGGTAATAAATAGATCTTTATTTTACATGAATGCTTCTGCAGATTATTTTGGATGACTTTATTTGGAAACCCTGATATGTCAGAGAAGGTTGCACAAAGGTCAATAGAGCGTAAATCAATTTACAAAATATAGCTGTGAGCAGCAATGAATGAGATACACAGGATGACAGAAAGGACACAAGATCAGTTGGATAACAAAGCAAGCACTCTATCATGTAGGAACTATCTTCCTTTATGTGCAATCAGTGAAAGCATTACCATGTTTATCTCTCAATACCACAAGGATGACGCAAGTGAAGTTGTCTAGTGCTATAGGTTGGTTATCTTTGAATGCAGAAGGTATTCATTTGTAAAGTCATTACTTTATATACCAATTCTGGGTTCAATTTGACTAATGGTTTACGTTAAGATTTGTGAAATCACAATATTTCACATTGTTCTGTAATGAATACTCAGGGAGAAAAAAGTGTAGATTCACGCGCTCAGGTGTTTATTTTGCCTTTGCAGGAGGCAAGAATCGTGGTCACAGGCAGGCAATGGTCATACACAGGTAGGCAAACAGGCAGGAGAATCAAAACTAGGACTGAAGGCTATAGCTGGTTCTCACAAACGAGTTAGGAAAAGGCTTAGTAGAGTCAAAACGAACAATATCTCACAAGGCACAAACAGAATGAACTTAACTAAATAAGGAGCTGATCAGTGGCGGCTCCTGAAAAAATTCTCAGGAGGGGCAATTTTTCTGATGATTTAGGTGACCTACACACATTTAAAAAAAGATATGTCCAGCAACAACATGAAGACAGGGGCAGCATATAAGTCAATACCAGAAGCATTTATTGACTGATCTCAAAAGTGTTGGCTTACCAGGGTTGGTGGAGCCCTCAGTTTCATCTTTGCCTCGCAAAGCTAACTCAAACACTCCGCAAAACTTCACACACTGGATTAGCCGGCTGAGGATGTGGCGGTTCTTGCTAATGTCGTAGTAAATATATTTGTTATAGTGAATATGGAATATGATATGTTGAGTAAAATGTTGTGCTAAGATCTATTTAGGTCAGGAGCTGGTTATAAGTTCTGTTCCTATCCAATAACAATGGACAAAAGGGTCCTATCTTGTCAGCCTTGTCAGCAGGTGGCCAAGGACAACACCCACGCCATAGGCCTCTCAGTTCTTCCAACTCACGAGTTCTTGCTCTGAGGACACACACACACACAAACACACACACACACACATCATCACTGTTAAACACACACACACACACACACACACACACACACACACATCATCACTGTTAAACACACACACACACACACACACACACAAAAATCCCCTCTCTTAGGCTGAACATTTGAAGACAGAGAACCCGACTCAGAGCCAATGCAACAGTGACAGTAGCCTGGAGGGGACCTCGCCCAACTCATCAGGACCAATCAGAAGATCAGAACTACTAGATTCAACCTACTTCATTTATTGCATAAAATGTCTGCACACAATGTTTCGGGGGCTCTCTTCAGATAATAATAATAATAATAATAATATGCCATTTAGCAGACGCTTTTATCCAAAGCGACTTACAGTCATGCGTGCATACATTTTTGTGTATGGGTGGTCCCGGGGATCGAACCCACTACCTTGGCGTTACAAGCACCATGCTCTACCAGCTGAGCTACAGAAAGTGGATACTCATGGATGCGCATCGCAATTGTAAAATGTCAACACAATTGGAGACACCACGTCATTTTTGGAGACATGTTATTGACAGTAAACTATTGTAGATGCGACTGCTAACTAAATAAAACATTTTAGCTGGCTAGCTAATCATCTTAGCTAAATGTGGGGCAAACAATTCAGTTATTTACCGTTAATTTGAGGGATTGGGGTGAAAGAAATCGAGTTACATAGTGATACTTTACGATATACTGTATTGACAATATCGCAATATTTTTGCGCTAGTTGGCTGTACCTGCACCAAAACACCATTATTGTTCCTTCATAGCTTGTTCTCAATCTTTTCACATTGGGAGCCAATTTGTTTTCAGCACTTTTATTTCCATGACTGATCAAAACTCGTTCTCATGGCTTTCTGATCCCTCTGCAACAGACATATGGTGCGCAATAAAATCACAGTATCGAATCGCAATACGTATAGAATCATGAGACTCGCAATGCTGATGCATATATCTTATCGTGAGGTTCCTGGCAATTCCCAGCCCAAGTTCATTTGCCACAACAAATCTCTTCGCTAGCAAACGCGATGTCTTCTCCAAAACGGCAATGTGTCTCCAGCAATGTTTACTTTTTTGACGTTCTATGGCATCTCCACTTTCCAAGCATATATGACCACATGTAATATTTTGGTAAGTGATGCAAATAGTGAACTATGTAGGGCCAGGATGTAAAATATATGTAGCTGCAGCAATTTCTCTTATCTGATATGGTAAGTAATGGGGCTTAATTTATAGCTCCCTAAGAGTTTGACGAACGGGTCCGTGAACGCGATTCCAGATATCTTTACCTCTGAATAAACTGCCTTTATTATACCATATCCACCCTGTCCAAAGTCTCTACTTGGTCTCAGTTCTCCAGTAAACTTGTGATTATCAACACTAACCTCATCGTTGTGGCGGCGGACAGCTAGCCTGTATCCCTCATCCAGTTGAGTGAGTGGCAATGTCTTTTTTCGTTCGTACCAATTTTTGGAAAATCCTCGGGTGTAGGACTTTCCGCCTTTAGTAGAAACCTGTTGAATTATTAAATTTGGTCTGGGAGGTCCTAATTGTTTCGTTGCCAATTTATCTTCATTTGTTCGCCGACAAAAAGGAACTTCTTTCAAACAATCCGCTCTTTTCTCAGTTACGTTCATGGTTACGTAACGTATGACGAAAGCGCGTAAGTGCAAGCCCACAGACACCCATTGAGATTGTATTGAAGGCTCTGAAATTTGAAAAAAATAGATTTTACATGGGAGTCTATGACAGACTTCTGGGCGATTTTCAACCTGACTGAAATCGCCCCAAAAGGGGGGGGAGCCATTTGAAGCACGACTTTAGCCTGATTCGACATTTAGTGGCAGTGTGGCACTGTGGCAGATCAGACGTATAGATTACAACACTGATAACTACTGTTGCCGTGATATAATTGATTAGAAAAAAAATCCCTTCCTTTT